AGAAAAATATATTGTAAAAGAAAATTTTTTTTTTTTTTGGTTTTTCTCCAGTACCGGGAACCGAACTCACGACCTTGCACTTGCCAGGCAGGCGCTTTTGCCGCTGAGCTAAATCCCCAGCCCCTGCAATCTCTTTTTAATCAGCATACAGCAAAAGGCCATTGAGCAGTGACCCTTATGTTGTGCACGGGAAAAGGGCTGGGCTCATGTGAGTCACACACCCACAGTGTGCTGATCCTGCTTCAAGGGTGAGCCCCAGGGTCCCGTCCTCAAGGAGGTCCCCAAGCCAGTTGGAGAGAACAGCGCAGGGGAGATCAGTGTGGACTGGGACAGGGAGTACACCCTAGAAGCATGGAGAGAAAATAGAAGAGTAAAAGGCCATGGCAGCTACTGGCCAGAGGTTTCAGTTTAACTTCTTCTTTCTGATGGTCCACACCGAACAGTGGGACAGAAAGCCTCCTCAAGCAGCAGTCCCCCTCTCCAAGGAGGAAGGGGCGAGGAGGGGAGAGAGGGGATTGCTCTACATCACAGGCACAGGGACCACCACTTCTGCCACTCCTGTACTTACCTTGTAAGACAACAAGCCCACAGAGTCTCACTGCCCTGGAGAGGAAATGGATTCCCGAGGCTGCTCTTTCCAAAACCCTGTATTTCCAACCAACACCTGGTCTTTCCAGACTCCGTACTGGCCAGAGGAGGGGTGGGAGTCCCACTGAGGGAGTTTTGTGTCTTCTGAACACAGAAACTTCAAGGGGAAGGGAACTTGAAACATAACGGCGGTGGCCCAAACCAAATGTGCACGCTGTGTGAGGATGGGGCCACCCTTTCCCAGAGAGGTTCTCAGTTCATCCAACCCGGTTTCCACTCTGAGCAGACCAAGACTCGGAAGTGAGAAGATGCTCAGCCCTGGGTCTCACCACTATCCACCCCAGCTTCTCTTTGCCTCCTCGCGCTGTGCTCCTGGCTCCACTGACAGTGTTCCTTGCAGGTCTCCAACCGGTGGGCAGAGTGGAGAATGCCCTTCCTGCTCCTCCTCCTCGTATTGTGTCTGCTACAAGGTGAGTCCCACAGGTGGCCCAGATTCAGGACCTGGGAACCACACCAACGTGTCTGAGCTGCTGAGATCCCTGGAGGGCCCAGGCAGAGTCCGCACTGCCTTGGCTTTCTCTCCTGGTAGACACAGGGACTGGCAGACCATGCTCCGGGCAAAGAGGCAGGGGTTATGTGACCGTCCGAAGTGGCAAAGGTTGGATGTGAGGGCAATTTGGCTGCAACATCTGTCACCCCATTGACCGCCAGGATTGATTCGGCTGATCTGGCTGGCTAGGCGGGTGCCCCTTCCTGCCTCAACACTCTATGTGCGTCCCTCCCAAAGCTGCATGCTTGGTTGAAAAGGACAACTACCCCGATAGAGAAGGAAATTCCTCAGTCAAGGGTATACGAGCCCCTGTGCTCCGCTGCTGGAACATCCAAACAACCTCTCAAGAAGTAGCAAAGGTTCATTTCCACTCATTCTGCAAACACTTACTTACAAAGCCTTAAGTGTTCCTTCTGTAAAGAAACTATATGGGTAAATAAAAATTACCTTGTATTTATTTGTTAATTTACTTAATATCATTTGTGAAGTTCTGACTACATGTCAGGCACAGGAGACAGATAAATAAAAGATAGGACCCCTGCCCTAAAGGTCATTGTAGATGGGAGTGGTGAGGCTGCCCAAATGAAAAATGACCCTGTCTCCATGCAGTGCTATCGGGATTTTATTCTCATGGCCATGGGCAGCCACTGAGGAATATAGGGTGTGTGTCTAGAGAATCCATTGCCTAGAATCTAGTCCCAAGAAGATGCCTAATAAATAATTGTTGAATGAACTAATAAATGGGCAGAAATGCCATGATAATAGCAGAAAGAGATTAATCATGTCTGATATCAACAAACGAAAGTCTTAATGAATCAAAGGTAGCTACTATTTGAGCAAGCACTCTTATTTAATATAATCACACTACCTCTGTATTTCATCCTCTTATTTTCCCCTTTAAAATTTTTCAATAAAAATAGACTTCTCCTTCCCCTAGTCAAGCAAGCTCATGACTTTTCTGCTGACGTATAGCTCCAAATGAGTTGTGTTAGGCCTCAAGTGTTCTAAATGCAATCATGTCAGATGCCAGTCTTCATCCAGAGATGCCCCCGCAGCCCCCGCAGCCCTCCAGCCTGGGAAGTTTGTGTCCAGGCTGCCTCTCTCCTCTGCTCCTTCCTTTGCCCCTGCCACCTGTGACCCCAGCAGGTCGCACAGTGGAAGGGAGGAGATGGGATCTCAGGCAGCTCTTACCAGGTGGGATGGCCCAGTGGGGGCTTCGAGCCATCTCTGTACCTCTTCTTCTGAGGGTGCTTTGTGGACATCTGTGGCCCCTGCTGGCTCAGCTCCTCCATTTGCCCAGGTTCTTCTCTGGCCCTCCACACAGAGGACCCCATCTCAGATGGCTGTGGGCTGGCCCTCGGCCCTCTGGGACCCACCCCTGAGCCACAGAAGCCCTCACATGTTCCTCAACCCTCTGTTGGCGGGAGCCGAGTTCCTTCACAGGTACAAGCCCTCCCCTCCCTTGTCCTGCCACAGACCTCCTTCCTCCAACCAAGCCTGTCCACAGCCCCTGCCAGCTCCAGGTGTCACTCACCCCTCCCTCATGGGAGTCATAGCAACTGGCAGCTGCAGGGTAGTGACTGATGGCGAGAGCCAGGAGTACCCGCGTCCAGTGAGGTGAAGCACTGGCATGGGGCCCCCTCGGACTATCATATCATTTCTAAAATGGTAGCCTGTTCTTTAATTCTCATAAGGGACTGATGTAAAATTTTTTAAAAACCCAAACTTAATTATTACATAATACAAAGAGTTACTGATTAGTAACTTATCAAATACATTTTTTAAGTATTGGCTCTTAACTTAGATAGTCATAAAAAAAATTATATGGATTGCAAGAAGCATTCTTAGTCATGTTGCAATTGTGATGTCAGACTGCCCCATGCAGGTGATTAATGAAAGTGTCCTCATCTCACACGTGACATATGTAGAGCACGAGAACTCCTAAAATCTGGACTATAAATATTTTATTACAACATCACCATAGCTGTGCTCAGATTGCCTGTTTGTAGTAATAGTCAACCTTCTTATCCTTTATTGATAAATTACCATTCAACTTGAACATTAGTTGCATGGATTGGGGTGTGTTGTCTACTTAAACCTATAGTGAGTATTCATATAGCCATATGACCCTTCTTTTCCTGTTATTAGACCTCAGGACACACATAATGGACAGGTCACACGAGACCCTATTCTCTAATGGTGCTTCACTCATTCTCTGCTGCTGTCACATAAAATTCTTAAAACATTTTTATTTTATTTTATTTTTTGTCTTTTTGAGACAGGATCTCGCTGTGCAGTTCAGGCTGGCCGTGAGCTCACTTTGTAGCCCAGGCTGGTCTCTAACTTGCAATGATCCTCCTGCCACTCCCGAGTGCTGGGATTACAGACATGTGCCGTCATGCCCAGCAAGACATTTTGAACAAGGGGTCTCACATTTTCATTTACACTTGTCATTTGCAGGTCTTGCCCTGAGACTCACAAATGATTTAGTGGTCCAATAGGATATTAAACAGAACTATCTTGGGTTCAGAGAGCCTAAAGACCTAGAACCCACATCCTAAAGCAAGATGTTGAACCAATTTGTAGGACTAAACAGAGATTGTAAAGCCCATTCCAGCACTGGCCCACAGTGCAGTCATCTGGGCCATTAAGAGGGACTCCTTGGAGGCAGAGAGCCGCCCTTGAGACTGTTCTGGAGAAAGCTGTCAATGTGTTGTGTTCCCTTCCTCCTGCACTGGGGGCTGGAGAGATCACACCCCCTCACTTTGGGCAAAATAAGAGAAGGAACTTCTAGGAAGCCACCTATGTCCTATGTCCCGGGTTTCTTCAATAGTAGGATAAAGTTGTGCTCCCGTGCCTCCACCTCATGGGTGAGGGAACTGTGACCCCTAGAAGGGGGGCAGATGGCTAGAAGCCATAGGCTGGGTGATGGCACCTGTAAGCAGTCAGCAGAAGGAGAGCTCATCTGCTGGGGAAGGAACTGCAGCCAAAAGCCACCAAAAAGGTAACTGGGGAGCAAAAGAAGAGGTCATGTTGGACCTTTGCCACGCCCAGAGAGCACCAAGGGCAGATTACGACTATCTATTCCCCTCTCCCTGCTCCTCTCCAGGCTCAGCCCTGGAACAGCCCCAAACTGCAGCTTTGAGTAGAGGAAAGAGAAAGTGAAGCATAGGACCCCAACCTGCCACTTCCTCCCCTGTAGGCCTCCAAAAGAAAAAGGCCCCAACTAGGTAAGGGACTGGAGTGCAAGCTTTCTTCTAACTGAGCCACATGTATAATTTTAGTCTAGACTAGACTTTTTCTTACCTAAGACAGACAACAAAAGCTACTAGACATGAGATTATACTTGAGATTTCATCACGGAGCAGAGAAAGTTATGAAGAGGCAGTGGGAGACAGAATGGACCTCTTTTCTGTTTGCACTCTATCAGATTAAAATCATTCTCTAAGCTGACCATATTCTGTGATTCAAGTATGAACTGTCTTTAGGGCGATAGCCAAAGCAGACATGTATACATGCGCATCTCTGTTCTTGAACAGACCTGTATTCATCTATGTTTGGCTATTTCTGTTTCTCTAGAAAAGTGGTCAGTGAGAAAAACTCTGCAGTTACAGGTCTGGGGATGTGTACACCCACCATGCAGAGCAGGGTTCCTGTGGTTCAGTGGACCCTGTCCTTTTCAGAGGAAAAGCACACTGCTATGTTTACATTGCTTAGCATCTTTCTTTTATATCCCATGAAAACCAGATGTTGCTTCCGCCCTCTTATGCATGCTGAGACAGCACCTGCACTCAAGCACAGTGGAGTGAACCCACCATCTGGATGGATTTGTTGAGAAAAGCTAGAACATGATAAGTATTAGCAAAATAGTGTGCAAGAACCAAGGGTGGTGGCACACACTGGAAATCCCTGCTGATCAAGAAGCTGAGGCTGGAGGAACGTGAGTTTGAGGTCCACTTAGGAAAATCTTGACTCAAAATTACACTTCAAAGAAATGGGGAAGGGAGTAGAGTGGTAGAGAGCTTGTGATGAAGACCCTGGGTTCAATCCTCAGTGCTGGGGAAAAAAATAGTGGGCAAGATTCTTACTGCATTTTCATCTTACAGATGGAGCCTTGGTTTCTGCTCCATTCCATAGCTTGTGAAAATTCCTGCTTCCTCCATGGCTAAGTTCTGCCATTTCTATGCTAATGCTGCTTCGCTTTCAAAGTGGCATCTTCTGACCTGACCCTTCAAGCTAGCAGAGTTTGCCTTGTAACTCCCCGAACAGTGAGGAGACCCACCAGTTCCTCACCTCCAGCTGTTTTCTCCATCTGCAGCTGTAAAGGCATTGAAGGGCCCGAGGCTGGTGTCTGGGGAGCTTGGAGGAGCTGTCACCATCCAGTGCCATTACGCCCCCCTGTCAGTCAACAGGCACCAGAGGAAGTACTGGTGCCGTGTGGGGCCTCCGATGTGGACCTGTCACACCATTGTGTCCACCAACCGCTACATCCGCCTTGGCTACCATGGCCGTGTGGCTCTAACAGACTTCCCACAGAGCAGCTTGTTTGTGGTGAGGCTGTCCCAACTATCCATGGATGATGAGGGCAACTACCGCTGCGGCATTGGAGACAGCAACAACATGCTGTTCTTCAGCATGAATCTGACTGTCTCTGCAGGTGAGAGCTGATGGCCAGTGGGCTGTGCTTGGAGAAGCTAGGAAGCAGGAGAGGCAAGAGGAAGTTTGGAGTGCTGAGAAAGCTGTAGACCTTGGAGGAGTGAGCTGAAAGGCTGGGCCAGGGTAATGGCTCTGAGAGGCAGCATTTCCTCTAAGGAGGCTATTTCCAGAAAGAAGGGAGATATTAGCAAAAGCCAACTAAGTGCTCACAAGCTCTCCCGCCCAGCTTTCCAACCCCTGTTTCTTAGTCAGCTTCCTGTTGCTGGAGCACAATACCTGCCCGACACCCACAACATAAAGGAGGACAGGTTTAATTTGGCTCATGTTTTCTAGAATTCAGTCCATGGTGAGCCAGCTCTAAGGCACAAGGGCCTCACAGAGCAAAGATGTGTAGCTCATGATCGATGGGAAGCAGAACAGGGGAACAGTTCCAGAGAGGAAGGGATGCGGGACCAGACTCAGACCCCAAGGTCACCCTCCGTGATACACCTGGACACATCTATATGGGTGCTCCATTGACCCTTGGGAAGATCCCAAAGCCAACCAAGTTGACACTCTCCCATGACCTCCATCCCCTGGGTGTTGTGGAAATACATACTGAGAGATAGTTCCAAGAAGGTAGTAAATTGGATAATATGGCATCTGAGGGTCCTGAGAGCAGCATATGGGGACACACAGATCAGGGTTAGCACCGCACAGCAGCATGATAGGCAGGAAGGACTCTTTTGTAACAGGCCCTTGCTCAGCCCCCCTGCAGACATCAGGCGGCTCCCAGACCCAGGCCCTGGGGAACAGGTTCTGGAGGATTGGTCCAGAGTAGGCACCCAGAGTGCAAGCAGGGCCTCTGGGCTGTGAAAGCCGCTCTGCAGAAGACACAGCCCACCAGGACTGGCCAGCTAGGAAAGCAGATGGGTTTCGCTGGATGCTACTGCCCCTACCTGCCACCACTGGCTGCTCTTTGGGAACTGCAGTGTTTCTTTTCCTTTTTCTCAAGAGCAGAACCCACTGGGCTGTGGCCTCTGGAGAAAGTAGAAACTTGGAGATCTGGGGCAGCAGGACGGAGAATATGTGAGCCTGGGAGAAAGCAGGAGGAGAATAAAATGTCAATATTTGCATCAGACTAGAGAATATATCCAAGATTCCCACCTTTTTGTTTTCATCCCAACATACTGGCCAAACACTGCATCTCTTACTGAGGGTGCAGCCTAGTTGGCAAAGAGTTTAAACCCAGTGCCCTTTGCTATATCCACTTGGCAGCCTGAGTAGCCTCTACTTGTGCTCTCCCTCTGCTACTCACACAGGTTCCTCCAACACCATCTCCACGGCCCCTCTGGCTGCAGGTGAATTCCTCACAGAATCTTCTGGGATAGCATCACCAGCAGCCAAAAGATGGCCTTCAGGAGCTACCCAGACTCCAGAAGGACAAAGGACAAAATGGGACAAAGTTGCTCCAACAAGAGAAACCAGAAAAACCACAGCTTCAGCTAAGAGAAGACAGACCCCAGTAACAGTCAGGGCAGTAGCTCTAGCGACAGACAGTGGTGCAGAGGGTTCTGTTAAGGCAACAGTTCCCATCCCACAGAGTCCAGGTTCAAAACTCAATGGTGTGTCCACTACAGCAGAGGATGCTTGCGGATGGGGCACTGGAAGCTTAGTCACCAAGGTGACCAGGGTCAGGGAGGGTAGAAAAGAGATGACAACTACTGAGGCCAATAAGCCAGGAGAGCAAACAGAGAGGACCGAGACAGCTGTGGATGCAGCCAGGAAGACCACAGGAACCATTTGGCCATCAGCCCAGGCCAGGGAAGCTCTACCAGAAGCAACCATGGTATCTAAGCAACCGGCCCTGGGCTCTACTGAAGGAGCAACCCCAGCTGCAGGTCCACGGACATTGAACACCACCCACAGAGAGACAGCATCTGTGGAAGGAAGCCCCGAGGGGGACCTAAGAAGTGCTGCTGGTGGCCAGGGTCCCCAAGCAACGCCGAGCCAGGGCCCGGTAGCAGGTCCCCAGAGGCCCTCTGGCAAAGGGTCATCCAGGAAGAGGTGAGCCTCAGGCCCTTCCTCTGGGCTGGAGCCCTGGCTTTGCCCTGTTTCTGGCCTGGTACCTCCCTCTGCCTCTGCTCAGTTCTCTCCCTTTGTGCCTGCAGGACAGTAAAGGGCAGGGACAAACATCAGACACCCTCTGCCATGCACACCGGGGTCTCGGTGGGGAGGATGCAAACTACATATTCTGATGCAGTTTGCAAGCACAATGGAAATGACAGAATGGTAAAAATTTTAGGCTGAAACATTCCAGACCTTGAAGATAAAGAACAGATGTGGAGCATCTGCTCCAGAGAGGGTAGCACTAAAGTCATGAGGAAAGATCGTAGCAGCCCAATGCCAAGGCAACGTCCCTGATGCTTACTTGTTTCCTTTCTTGCTGTGGTGTACAGTGCAGCCCGCACTCAAGAAGGGAGAGGAGGACACAGGACTGGGGGCTTGAGAACCTGAAAACAGCCTTTTTAGTCCCAGTCCTGCTACTAACCAGCCCGGGGACTGAGGATAGGCAACTTGCCACAGCTTCTCCACCTACGAAAAAAAGGAGGGCTGTGGAGCAACAGTCTTTAGTCTCTCACCCCAGCCTCCCTCTCCTGTGCTCTTCCCGTCCTGCCCTGGCTCCTTCCAGTGCTTCTCCAGAAGTTGAAAGTGGCTCTCGGATCCTGACTCCAGTCTCTACCCTGCTGGCCCCGTTTCTGCTTGTGGCTCTGGTCCTATTGCAAAGAAGGATCCGGAGAAAGAGGAGCTGTGAGTGCGTTTATGTAGCTCCGAGGCTGGGGAAAGGTGTGCGAGGTGCTGCGCAGTACCCTCAGGGCTGAGTTGGGTTAGAGTCAGTGCTGGGACTTCTGCCTGCAGCAGAGCTGAATTCTAGTCTGAGCCATTTAACCACATTTGGTTTTGGCTTCTTCAGTACTTACGTCTCAGCAGCAGCCCAGAGCTCAAGGAGAAGCTCTTTGGGGATTGGTAAGAGCTATGTTAACCCCAGGGATGGAGTTCATAAGCAACCTCGGAGGCAGAGGTAGGAAGGCAGGGCCCAGCCCCGGGACCAGGTTCTGCCTTGTGCACTCTTTTGCAGGGCCCCCGATATTCTCAGCACTGTGCCAGGTTTAAACACTCCTAAAGTGAGGGCTCCAGGGTGTAAGAAAGGGTGAAGTTTTCTGGGAGCAAGAGGGAGCGGCTGAGGTTTTCAGAGCTGGGCCCGCAGGCTTCGTGCCACCACGATAGCTCTAAGGGCTCAACCCTTCGGTGGTGAGTTCTCAGACACCTGCAGCAGGCGGGTTTTCTCAGGGAATCAGAGCCAGCACTGTCTACCTCAGAATCCTCACCACCTTCCTTGTGTCTCTGCAGCTCAGGAAGCAGAAAGGACACCAAGAGTCACCCTGATTCAGATGACACGTTTCCTGGGGCTGACCCTCCAATCAGACCAACTGCCCCACATGGAAAGGGAGATACTGCAGGGTAATCCTCCTCCTCCTCTTCCTCCCCAAGCCGGCCTGACTGTCCTGGAGAGGGACCCAGGACCCTGAGCAATGGAAGATAAAGGGCTCGGTCATGAAGGAAGGAGGAGGGCCAGATACCTCCATGACTGCAGCTTCTCACATCCTTCCTCCACCCATGTGGAGAGAAGCTAGTGGAGCTAGAGCTCCACCTGGAGAAGCAGATGTAACCATCTGGACCTCACTGCCAAAGATGACAGTAGGGCTCAGAGAAAAGGCTTCAAGAGAGGGCTTGCTGAACACAGGAAGAGATCACCTGGGAAAAGTGTGCAATTTCCTTTCCTGGATGTCTGAAAATATAAGGACTTCTAACCAGTGTGGAAGGTGACAACTTCCCACCGTCATTCCTAGCCCTCCCTGAGTGCCACCCTTTTCTGACCTCTGTCAGCACTCTGCTGCTGCTCACGTCAAAGTCCATTCCAGTATTCCAATCTTGCCTGCTCGAGTAAAGTCTAAGCTCCTTCTGCGCACTAATGGTGTTTTATCAGTCTCACTATGTTTGCATGTCACTACACAGGGTCCACAGAGGTCCTTTGAAAGAGGACATGGTGCCTTTAACCCACCCAACCCACGAGATGAGTTGCAGGTTTTTTACTTATGCTCCAGAAAAGAATTGCTGGGTATATCAATGAGAGACATAAAGAAACTTACTAGGCAAAGCTAAAAAATTACACGAGCAGAGAAAATAGAGTGTGGGTCTTCAAGAGAGTGGCACACTATGGTCTGGGTTTGGGAGTTTTTATGTCATCTTCAGGTATCCTCAAGACGGACGATCTAGGATGTGTATTCCTGCTTTGTGTCAGGCTACCTGTTTAGTGGGCTATGTCAGAATGCAAACTATTTGCACCAGAGAATTTTCAACTCAATGGGACCCCGATAAATATTCATGATCGATTGGGTGGCTGGAAAGACACAGGCTTGTTGGCCACGGGCTTGGTGACCTGCCTAGGCAAGTGCTCTGAATGCCCCTGGGCCTCTGCCCTTCATTTGGGAGTCCCCCAGATGGTCCTTTCATCGGGCGGTCCCTGCACTGAGACCAAAGGGGAGAACACCCACTGCTCAAATCATCCCTCCCCTTTTGGGCTCATACCGATTATGCTGTAGACCTGTGACCCAGTCAAGATTTTCTGGGATTTTCCTAAACTCATGAAGGAGGAGGGTATTTTTCAGTATCTTTTCACCTTCTTTATAAAGGTCCTCTTGTTCAATTGCTTATGAATCCTTTATATTAAGGACCAATGATACAGCTGGAAAATGGTTTTGGGGGTGGGGGACAAAGGAAAGGAATTTTATGTGGATTTTTCCTTATAATCATGTCACCTCATGTCTGCTGGGGAACTTTCACTCCACCCTTGACCTCACTGTCTTTTCCAGAATCACATCTGTTCTTCCCCCTTGCCAGATGTGTTAGCACACTGCCTAGACTCTGTGATTGGACAGAGAAGTCTTAGAGCAATGGAAGCAGAAGGGAGAGTTTCCAATGCTGAGTTAAGAATTGTCGGGAGGGCATTTCCAGAAGTCCTAGCACTCTCCCCAAGCTGTCAGCAGCATCTGCAGTCTTTCAGTAATGCCTCATCATTTCTGATTCTAAACCCAGAGGCTGTTATACAACGCACACCAGAGACAGTTTCCACGGTTTGGGAAAGGCACCTGTTGTGCAGGATAAGGTGGAAAGTTGCATGCACCTAGCCTAATGGAATCACAAAGTTTCAGAGCGGAGAGGCCCTCAGAGACTAATTAGTCTAAGACCCTAGGTAGAAATGAGGGAACTGAGGCTCAGTGGGGCAAGTTACTTGTTTAAAGTCACTGATAGCAGAACAAGGACTAGAAAAGAGAACTCGTGACCTTGGTAAGTGCCGTCTCTGCTTCACCATTGCTAAGCAATATGTCAAAGCAAAATGAACCACTAAAACCCCACGATACCCTAGTCATCTCTCCAGACTTCTCTCATGCCCACTAAACCATGTCAAGGACCTTCCTGGAGAACCCATAGAGGAAGCATGAGAGACTTCATTATCTCACACAAACAGCAAGGTGAGCAGGCCCTGGCAGGCATACAATTTGGCCAAGGACCCTTAGCTTATTGGCAGGGACGGGCCAAGAACTCAGGCCGTTAGCTCCACCTAACAGTGTTTACCAGGGGCGTCCACCAACCACCAGCCTCTGGGGAAGAGGTGTGCATAGGAAAAGCAGGTTTGATAGATCAAACAAATTCAGGGAATGCTAAGTTAAACAACAAACACTTTAGGCTATTCAGGATTTCTCAGAGCCTTCAACATGTGAAAGAACATCATGAACACCTCTGAGGGGGGAAAGTTATATGTGGTTTCCAAGCCTGTTAGGCAGGCTATCCTGTTTCAGGAAGCAATCTCCCTGGACTGGAATTCCTCAGATCACTCCTTGGGGAAGGCTTGAGCACTAAACCAGGGATCAGCCAGCTTTTACTGTAAAGGACCGGAGTGTAAATATTTCAGACTTTGCAGGCCTTGCTGTCCCAGTGGTAGCCCCTCGGTTCTGCCTGTGTGGCACAAAAGCAGCCCGAGCTGGCCTGTAAACTAACGGCTCTGGCTGCGCTCCAACAGAACCTCTTTGCAGAAACAGGAAGAGACTGCATTTAGCCTTGAGCAATTGCCAATCCCTGCCCTAATTCATTAGATCTTACGACACTTTGCCCTCTCTGGTCTGAGGGTCAGACCCTCCTTCTCTTTAAGGGCTTCCTGGCCGCCCTCTCTGGGACCTCTCTTTCTTCGGAACTGTGCTGATGTTTTTGCCTGGGACCAAGCCACTAGAGCCTGTCTGCCTGCCCTAGCTTGGCGGGAGGTGGTAGGGAAGAAGGGGATTGGCCAGGCACAGGTGTTTGCAAGTGCCTGGAACTAGGAGAGAGCCCAGAATTAAGGCTGTTTTAGAGAAAGCTAAAATGTGCCAGTGGGAGGAACCAATGCAAGGTCAAAGAAAGGGCCAGGAGTGGAGTTCAGGGAGGCAGAGATAAGATCTGGAGGTGCAGGAAGAAAGTAGGCAGGGGCAGCCCCACTGTTTACAGCCCTCTTGATGCGCCACATACTGCAGGGCTCGGGAAGCACCTTCACTTCAAGAGCCAAAGGCAAACAGCAGAACAGAGCGGCTCCACTACTTGGTATCATCAGAGATTTCTTTTCTATTTCAGCTTATATCCCCAGCCAGTGCAGTGCACCTACCATGGAGATGAGGGGCAGGAAATGCTTGCCACCACGCTAGAATCAGAAGCCTCCATAGGGATTTCTAAAGTAGGACACGGGAGAGCCACTGATTTTCACGGGATCAAGCAGCTTCGCAGGCGACTGCACAGCTCTCTACTCTCCTTTCCCCTTCTGTTAACGCAGCTACTGCCTGACTGCGTGTCTCTACCCAGCACGTTCTATAGGGCACTTGATGAAACATTCCTGAAAGGTGGCCGTGGACATTTCCATTTTACAGATGAGAAAGCCGAGGTCCAGAAAAATTAGTTGTGCTACCAGGGAAAGGGCAAGCTGGGACATGAATTCAAGGCAGTCCACCTCTGCAGCCTATACCCTCGGTCCCTGTGCCACCCTGCCTCCCTCCATGTTTGATTTGTTCCCATTTGGAGTCCTACAGGCTTGCTTCTGTCTTTCTGGCTTGTCTGTGAAAAGTTACATAACCATTTCCAGGAATTTGCTCTCTAGTTACTAATTAGCTTATGCTTGTCTTGGCCTCATGAAGAGTGAAAAAAAAAAGCAACCAGGGAGCCAGACGAGAGCTAAAAACTCCAGTTCTTGCTGTCATTTGGACCAGTGGGGCTCAGATCTCAAGGACCTGTGCATGGTATCGACCTCAAGCTACTCAGAACAAGTGCTTCACCCTAAGCCCGCTTCTCTCTGCTCCCCACTGACACTAGGTCGCTTCTTCTCTTCTGATATCCAGTGGGGCCTGAGGAGTAGGGAAACCATTTCCTAGCAGCCTCAGTCAGACAAAGTGAGGACGGTACCTGCGCAGGGAAGCCCAGGAGAGACGTGGGGGGAGGGCGTGGTCTCCCCACGTGGGGCCTGGACTTGCAGTGGATGCACATGAGGGACCCAGCAGGACAGGAAATGGATGCTCTGTGTGTGACCTTGCATGAAGGGCCCAGTGTCACCGTGCTGTCCATCCTTCACTGAGTGATACACTGTGCTTACTGGCGCCAGCTCTCCCTAGCCTGCTGCCGTCACTGTCCCGTGGGGGACAAGCTGCCCACTCTGCAAGGGGCAGCCAGCGCCCAGGAGGGCAACAGAGAGATGCCAGCTGCTGGAGAGGACCCTGCCCATGCCTCAGGAGGCACATGGACTCACAGTGCAGCGGCGGCAGGCCAAGGGCCAGCAGGCCACCATTTGTCTCCTGGTCCCCTTTCAGGATGACACACTCACTGATTTGGAGTCTATGTTCTGCGTCTTCCTCCCTCTGGCCTTGTTCCCATTTCTCACCTGCTTGCCTTCTGGGTCCAGAACTATCGGCTCTGCTCTGAGCACGGAGGCTCACACAAGTCCACCGTTTTCCTGAGTTCTGAGTTCCTACCTTCCAACCCCGAGTATTTTAAAGAGGGTAGAGTCAGGGCTACCACGTCCAAAGACGTTTCCTGAGTTGCTCAGCAATTTGTCTACACGGGGTTGCAATTCACTTTGGACAACAGTTCTGGAAAAGAGAATCAAAGAATTTGCTTCTTCGGGCCCTGGTGTGGGAGGACAGTCTGCTTCACAAGACAGCTGGTCTGAACTTCTCAATTTGCCAGCCGTCTCCACCCCCACCCCAGCAGTATAGCACAGACGACTAAAAATACTTACAGTGTGCATTGTCAGAAAGACAAGACACCCCTTCTACAGATGGGCACACTGAGGCTCCAGTGGGCAAGGCTGCAGGGGTAGCACGGGCTACTTTTCCAGTGGTTGCCTGCCAGGCACACCTTGGGCTGAAGGCCAGGCCCAGATCAGGAACAAGGAAGCAGTTAGAAGTCTTCATTAGGACCCTGATGGAGGGTGCGAGGTGCTCGGCCTGGTCACCTGACACCCACCTGTTGACTTTGGATGTCTGCTCTGAAAAGTCTTCCTCTTTCCATTCCTCCCTAGCCAGGGTGTGGAGGTATGAAAGGGCAGGAGAGTGGTTTAGCAACCTCAGAAAGTGTTTGCCTCTGCCTCTGAATCAGAGAATAAAAGCTTTTTAGAGGTTGGGGGTTGGGAATCATCCCTAAAGGGGAACTGAGAGAGCCTTGGACCACACCCAACTTTCCATTTCCATTTCTCCAGTATTCAGTGCTACAGTTCCCTTCACCCATAACACCCGCCTGGGAGACTCTGCCGGCCTCAGGGCCTCCCCCACTTCTCTGCCTTCCCTGCTGCTGCCAAAGTGGTAAAGAGTTCCAACAACCCCTCCACCCCTGGGGTCTAGAAGTGCTGTTTGCACTCTGGGACTGAATGAGGTAGGAATGAAGGTGAGGGCCCGGA